GGCGTTCTCGGCTTAGCTAACTATCAGAACTGTCTGTGATTCGCTAGCGCGGAAGAAATTTAGTTGCGTGGCTTCCGGGCGATAATTGACGTAACGACAACATGTTGAGTGTTCGCTTACTGCTAACTATGGCCTAGTTTATTTGAGGTTCAATCGATTATCGATGTAGGAAGCTCTTGTTCAGTCCATATAGCAGTAGGACGATGCAGGCCTTGAGAAAGCGATAGATTAGCTCTCCGCCGCGGTTTTGATATCTATACGTTCGTGTTGATTTAGACTCCAATTTCATATTGAAAGCACTCTTAATTAAATTGTACAATTCATGATTCAACGAAAAGACGGTGAATTTAGTCTTCCTGGCCTCATGAGGCATACAGGAGAGTTATTTGCTGTTATTTGAGCTACGATAAGCCTCGTGGAAAGCTAGCTCTAGGACAGAATTGTATCAAGGTTGTCAGTGACAAGTGAAATTCTATGGCTATGTTTTTGCGAATCCGATCAGACATATTTCATTGTTTTAATGTTGCTTATCTCAACAACACTTGAGTTGCTTTGTCGAAGTTGTTGTAAGTTGCATATTGTCTAGGAACTATTTTATGCTCTTAAAGCGAGAAGGATTTGCTACAGTGACGCTCGCACGTTTTTGTTTTTTCAAATTCATCGGTTTGGTGAAATGCTGGAGAATTTCTTTAAAGGTTATTACTACGGCCGATAAAATGATTACAACGCCATCGACAAAAGTAATATTGAAATTCCGCATCAGGGCTGAATAATTATTAAACTTGAACACCCCAAGTCTTTGAAATTATGGACATTTTCCGGCTTCTAAATGCGTTTCTTGGCTTTACCCTGGATGATAACCAATCTCAAACTAATTTTCTGTAGCATTTCTTTCATTCGGCCATCCTTTCTTGAGACCGGATTTGCTATTTGATACTCATTTGTAGTGATATGCGTATTATGTTTATGAAGATTTCCTTGTTTTATTTGTTTAGTTCGTTCGGTTTGGTGAAATGCTTATTGGTGTATTGCTTTAAAGGTTATTTTGTCGAGTAGATGATTAGTATTTTATGGGAGCTCGGCTTTAAGGCTTGGTTATATCTACATATATCGAGATGTAAACGCGCACAAATCTTCAATAATGTTTTAGCCTGAAAGTAACCGAGCTGTTCATAAACTTCTTAAGTAAATAAATGTAACACTGAAAAAGGAGCTTAGGCGAGTACGAACCTTGCAGAAGGCGTTGTTATGATCATTAGCAGGAGGTTTGTTGTTCGTAAAGTAAATCGAGTCATGTTCTGAAAAGGGAGGCTTGTGAAGATGGGTGAACGCCAACCAATGCTAACAATAATAGAAATAAATAAAATCATTAGCTCAGTAAAACTACAAGCTTCGAATAATCCTATTAAGTACGGTTTGAAGTTTGCATGATGAAACACTGTGCCCAACATTTCATATTCTTAAAGAATAACGAGGAAGAAAAAAGGACACAGCAAATCGTGATAAAAAGAAAAGCTAGGAAAGCTGTGCATGAGACACTTACAACAGAAAGATCTTCGTGAGATCCTGCGTAGTTCTCCAATTCTCTTAAACAAACGTTGAAGGACGATTTAGTGACATCTTCAGCCCACACACTAGCAGCATCACGCTTCAGGCCGGAATGGTGGTGCTCAGCTGTGACAAATACCAAAGGTTTGACTAATAACTTTCCCTGGAAAATAAAAATAGAAAGGAATGGACTTAAGGAAGTTCGCGCTAAGTGTTTCTGCGCATCCTTACTGCGCACGCAAATTCACTGGCCAAGTCATGCATGAGAGCGCGCCCAAGTAAGCTGGCCATTGGCATAGCTTTGCCTGGACTTAACGATCTTGGACGTTCGGTGAACCCTACTTTTCTTTAGATGGATCATTTTCTCTCCAGATTTTCTACGTTTAAAAAAAATGAAGAAAATCTATTGACTAGCAGTTTGAATTTTTACAAAATGCATCATCGAATTCCGTTCCTTTTAGCTCTTCATGTACCTGTGCGACGGCTTCAAATGCCTCTTGAAGGGTTAAGTTTTGTGATATATGACTAAGATCGTTTGCCTCCGTTGACTCACCTGCGATATTTTTAACTATAAACCCCTGTAGACCATGCTGAATTGCGTGCGCCAATTTTTCAAAATCAGGGTAGTTTTCCACACGCTTTCTCTCTGAAGCGAAGTCGGTGCCCCCCAATTTGTTTGGATTTCTGACATAAGTAGCTTATTATCTAACTGTCGTAAAAATTTTTAAAAAATCTATATGCAATGGTAACTTTATAAAATTATATATTTTGTAATAAAATGATCCACAATGTAAGAGTAATTTAATTGGTTCCTTGAGCGGTGCCGTCCGAGTTTTGCCTGACTTTGAACTGCTAAGAATTTCAAGAATTTCAGAGATTGCACTAAATAAATAAGATAAATAAATAAATACAAGTAAATAAATAAATAAATAAATAAAATGGTTTGTTTTTGAGTAGAAATCTTTACCCCTTCGTGATGCCCGTGGTAATTTCATTTTCACAAAAGTGGTCTGAAAAATGTACATTAATGCTAAACTTACGACTAAACCTGATCACTTGAGCTACATTTCCCAAATACGGACCTGAGGCTTGTTTACAGTGAATCAATCCGGGGATTAAAAATTGTTTCGCAAAATATTATTGATTTTTCTAAGTGTATTAATGAAGGAAAAACTTGTCTGTCAATCTGTCTGTCTGTCTATTTTTCTGTTTATTTTTCTGTTCGTGTGGACCTCTATGGAAGAATAGGATAAGACTTTCACGTGATCCTACACTTTACCATTTACAAATTAAGCAAGACAAATTGTCACTTACTGACGGAAAGTGCACAGCTTTGCAAGTCGTTCCAGTCCACCATTGTGATATTCTAACTTTACCGGCAACACCACCCATTGGAGCCCCCTGGTACGCCATCCAATCGACTGTCACGTTAGCATTTGACTTACGCTCGTTAAAGCCTGCCGCCATAACACACGCAGTGAATTGGTCAAAATTCACATTTTCANAGCATTTGACTTACGCTCGTTAAAGCCTGCCGCCATAACACAGGCAGTGAATCGATCAAAATTCACATTTTCAACCCAAGACACAGCAGCATCATGCACATATGACTTGTCACTGGTATCAATATGATTGACAGTTATCTGCACTTCAATGGGTTTGTCGGTATAGAACACGTAAGGTTTGAAACGTACAACTTCGCAGTGCGAGTACCCTAGTGACGGAATGTGTGGCATGTGACGGCGACCTCGCTGAAAAGGAAATCCTAAAAAGACAGCAACACCAATGAGACCTCAAATTTCTATAGTCAAAACATAATCCACTACTTAATATGTAATTAAACAAAATTCTCGAAAATTTTGTTTTCTTGCTCAATAAGTCACGGTCAATATATCAGTATTCTAACATGACTCCGAGGCTACGAAATTGAAAAATGACGAACTAGTCATCGAAACGTCGTTCGAAATTATTATTGCTAGTTTTTATTCTTTTTAACTGAGCAGTTAAATGAGATACTCCTTACCTTCACAACTACCAGGATGTTGTACAGTGAAGTTCAATCGAAGGAAACACATTTCTTGCTCAAACAAACACACATTGTCGTATGTTGTGCCATTTGATGAACAGACAGGCTCGTGGTAGGATGGACAGCGGCTTTCACACACACAGCGAGCGTCATGAGGACCAAAAGCCTTACACAGACCGTGATAATGACAAGTAACTTCTAGGCAGGGATTCAAGTCTGGTTAGCAGAGAATAATGGGTAGGAGAGTTACTCCTTCATACACATTGCAGACTTTATTCCAAGGGTAATTCATCTTCAGTTATTTTGAGACAAACTACCCAGTTCATCTGCGGATAATATAACTGTTTGGGTTTCCATGGATGTGTTGGTGAAGATAAAAATGTGTGTTTATTGCCAAAGTAATTATTGACAAGTTAAAAATCAGAGCTTGAAAACATGGCTTCCATGCTACGACCTCTTAACCCGTCTGGCGACACCCTATTGAAATAGTAATCCCCGTGGTGGAGAGAGAATCTCCAGATTTTTGTTACTTCGACAATATTTATTGATTTTGTTTTATTTCCTTCAGTGAGTAACTGCTTACCTCCAATCACCGTGTAGTCGACTGTTATAGTATCCTTATTCTTGGGGTTACTGTTGTAGTTTCTTACGCACACCTGCGTATCTTTTGTGGATGTGTGCTAAGCAAATATGATAGTACTAGTTGTGTTAGTAAGATCAGACTATTCGTCTCAACAAGGATGTACAAGTTTCGGCGAGGGTTTGAAGAAATAAAAAGTCTAGGTTGTTGTGGAAATATAAACATATTCTTCTTGTAATGTCCTCCTGGCCTGTCGGTATACATTCATACATAATATTATTTATACCTCAATCCACGCGGTAATGGCATTGCATCGAGAAGAATACGAATAGTTGTTGTTGTAGCTGTATTTTGGTATCACTACCACCACAGGAGGAGCAAAAAAAGGCTCCGTGAAGTTTATTATCTGAAATATGAAATAAAACGACATATAGGTGAATCATTTAACTTATGACACCTGATAAAATTTGACACTGCAAATATTTTTGGAATGCGTGCAATGGAAATTTAGTTTTGTCATGTTTGCTTTAATAAGTGAGTTTAAGTGTAAAACTATTCGAAATGCAACTAAAATGTACCTTTTGAAGTGAAATCAGCACATCCGAATGCCTAAAAAGTTTCGTACATCAATAAAAGTAGTTAAGAACAGCACTGCGAGCCGTGCCTGAACTAAACACAAGTAGGCATATCTCTTTGTGCTTATAGCGATGCCTAGATACGGTGACTAAATACAACAAATCAACCTGACCGGTAGATAATTTCGCACGCCAAGAAATGTCTAGAAATTAAATTTCCTAAAAATGGTTTTTAACAATTCTTAGGGTCTTTTTGTTTCTTTTAGCTGAAAATCTGGAAAGAAGTCTTAAAAAAGCATGGAAAACCATAATATTATGTTCTTCCGTAACACTTTTCTTGGTTTTCACTAAAAAAATCTAACTAGCTGGGTTTTTACATGCCCTTTTGTCTTTTAAATCTTTCGGAATTGATTACAAACCATCAATAGTTGTTCAGTTTCGCGCCTTGCACAGGTGAGAAGATCTTGGGTAAACGCTTTGACAGCCTGGTCAAATGTTTACGGCTGAAACAATAATAACTCTACCTGATTATGCATACAGTCCGTTTACCGAAAAAACTAACTATGCCAAGAACGGAGTTAACTTTTTAATTGTCTTCCTAAGTCAAAATAGTAATGCTGAACTATTAGAATTTTGTTATCAAAAACCTTGAACGAACTTTTTTACGGTCTTATTTTCAGAATTAAATTTTTGAAAAGCATTTGTCAACAAAATATTGAGACAGACCATTACATAAAAGCATTCTAAGATTTAAAAAGGTAAAAAGCTGAATTAAAATTGACGACGTTTCGACGTTACCGTAACGTCATTATCAAGCCAAAAATGTATAAAAACTAGGTTTTATAAATACTAAGACGAACAAATGTTTTTCTAAGTCACTTCTTTTCCGTAAATTTTTGAGCTAGAGTATTAAAAAATAACGGAAAATTATAGCTTAAGCTGGTTGGAAACAGCTGCCAACACTTTAGAACAGTTATACTTTATCATCTTAAAGAAACTGTGGTCATCTTCATGATATAATCGGTTGAAATAGCAACGGTGCATCCTGTTAAAAAGAAATACCTTCATTTTAACTTTATTTATTTATAACTCGTAAAAAGGTTGGAGAAACCGATTTTTATTATCTAATTGTGATAAGAATGTCAAGTTACAACATTTTGCAAGGTTAAAAAAAAATTCATGTAGTTGGAGTTTCAGAGCCACCTTAAACTTTCGCAAAATGACAATCACTTTGTTGAAATATTTTATGGAGACTTTTGTCAGTGCTTCAAAATACAAAACTAAGTGGTCGCTAAATTTTCCCAATCAGAAGTTTGATTGATCTCATAAAACAATTGGCTTAAACTTGTTATCTTAAATATATTTTTAAATTTCGCATTTCACTGTGTATGTCAATTTTTTCCATCGCGACGACGAAATTAATTAATTTATTATTTGATTTTCTTGTTTTCAAAATGGTTTCCACATATGTAGTTTGCTTTTATTTCTCATGCATCTTAGTATTTTGTAAAGTCCAGCAAGAAACTCCGGTTTACCAGTTGCATAAATACATATTATCTTACTTGGCAGAATGCTTGGTTATCTGGAAGAGATCGTGAGTTAGTGTTATTAAAAACAACACTACTGGTCAAAGTAAAGTTCTCAAGCCTCAAATCGATATATGCCATCCAGTTCTGCAAGTATAGATGAATAAAGAAGAATCAAGACATAAAACACGAGAAAGAAGCAAAACACATTGTATTTACGCAAAGGCCTTCATCAGCAAAATTTTACCCCACCTAAACGACGCTGATGCAATAAATAAGAAATCATTGTCATTCTGTTTTTCATGATGTGTATTTTAATGATTTAAATAGAGCCGGTTTCCAATTGAGTGTCGCAAAACCAAAAACAAACCAACCACATACCAATTAGACTACTCAGCCAATCTCAAACCGTGGTAAAACCAAAACCAAACCAACCCCTTACCAATTAGACTACTCAGCCACTCTCAAACCGTAGTAAAACCAAAAGCAAAGTAATTGACAGATTACTTTCGACTCAATTTAAAACCGCTGTAATGGATTAAAAAATGAAATATAATTTAATTCGTCATTTTTGCAGTAACACAAAGCCAGCATTCTATTTAGTCACCACTTTAATGTTTTTGTGGGTCCCGTCAAGAATCTTGGTTTCTCTGAGGCATATTTTGAAGCTGTCTTTGTGTACGTCTTCTCCCCACAAGGCCATGGCATCCTGGGGTCTCCTGGGAAATTGATGACTTGCAGTCACAAACAAGGTTGGTGGAGTCTTGAAAGGCTGAAATATTGAGGATCATTGATTCGTCTTGGTTCACTCATCATATCAAGCAAACTAATTCTATGAAACATCAACAAAATCAATAACAACAGCAGAAGCAGAAAAATGAAGATCTACTAGGCAATGAAATAATGTTACGAACAGACGAAGACACGAATCAACAGACAGCCATTGAAAGTCTTGAAACAGGGAGAAGAAAGGAAGGAATCACACACAAAAGAAACCGACTAATGAATAAGTAATAGTAAGAGTGGAAAAAAAGAAATCCACAATCAACCTAGCGTATCGATAAAGGAACAAAGAGAAGCAAAAAAAAAAAAATTAAATGAAAGAAACAAATAAATGTAGAAACGAACAAAAGAGGTGCAAAAGAAAAAAGTCAGGAAGTGACCTCTTAGCCAGCTAACCAACAAAATAACAAACACACACAGAGGGAAAAGTACTACAAAAATGAAATAGAATGTTAAAGAGGCAAGAGGAAGAAGGCAGAAAATGAAAGTGAAAAGTGATGGGGGGGGGGATAATTACAATGTTACAGTGACAGAGATCAAAAGAAAAAGGAGAGTAAGTAAGAAGGAAGGGAAAAGATGAAAAGAGAAATACTGATTCGTTACTAAATGGAGAACAATTTTGAAAATACCACATTGAACGGGGCAAGAAAAACGGAAACCAAAACGTGAAAGAAAGAGCGAGGAGAGGAGAGAAGGTTGTGGGGTGAGGGGAGAGGAGACAGAGGAATGGGGAAAGGGAAGAGGGGAGAGGGGAAAGAGGAGAGGAGAGAGGGGAGAGGGGAGAGAGAAATGGGGAAAGGGAAGAGGG